AGAGAGAGAGAGAGAGAGAGAGAGAGAGAGAGAGAGAGAGAGAGAGAGAGAGAGAGAGAGAGAGAGAGGAGAGAGAGAGAGAGAGAGATAGAGAGAGAGAGAGAGAGAGAGAGAGAGAGAGATAGAGAGAGAGAGAGAGAGGGAGGGAGAGAAAGGGAGGAGGACCCAGGAGGGGGTGGGATGAGGGGGAGGAGTCGAGGAGGAGGACGAGGACAAGGAGGAGGAGGAGCTCGAGCTCCAGGAGTCCAGGAGAGGGAGGAGGAGGAGGAGGAGGAGGAGGAGGAGCCAGGAGGATGAGGAGGAGAAGGACAAGGTAATAGTTAGTTCGGGGTGGCCGAGAAACGCCCATTGGAAGGGGAATCAGGGGGGTGGGCGGGCACGAGGGAACGGACAAGGGTGGCGTGGATGAGGAGGAAGGAAGAGGAAGATAAGGAATAAGATAATGACGGAAGGGCAGTCGGACACCCCCCCGTTCCCCCCTTCTCCCACCTCGTTCCTCCTCCTCCTCCCCCCTCCCCCTCTTCCTCCTCGACTCCTCCTCCTCTTCCTCCTCTGCCTGTCCTGCTTGTTTTCCTCCTTCTCTTCTCTACTTTCTTCCTGTCCTGCCCCTCCTTCTTCTGCGTGCAAGTTGCTCGCCCTCAGCTGCTCTGCTCGACTGGGGCTTCGAGGGCAGCGCCTGGGACATCCCCGCAGTCCTGCTGCCGGAGCCCATTCTACAATTCTGATCGAGAAGCGCCAATGGAGCACGGTGATGTTCCTGGCGCGGTGGCACAGCGGGCTCGCAGCGGGCGGGCGCCTCGGAGCCCCTGCTGGCCCTTTCGAGGGCGTGCCTGCAGATATCACAGAGGCGTTCGCACCTTCTTCTTAAAGAATTTATTCTCTCCTTCCTTCTTCGCGCCTGTTGCCCTCCGTCCTATTTCCCGATTGTTTCATGTCTCTTTTCCCTTTCACCCCTTCCCCCTGCGTTCCTCTTCCTCTCCTCTGGCCTCCTGCTGCTCTTTTCTGCCCTTTGCTCGTTTCCCCCTGCCGCGTCTGCGCCCCATAGAGGCGTGGCAGCACGCGGGCGAGAACTACGAGAACGGCGCCGCTGCCCGGGCGGTCTCAGCGCTCACGGCCGAGAATCTGGAGCGGCTTGCGCCCCTGGTGCGAGACGCTGCTGGGCGGGCGCAGCCAGCGGATAAAGGTTTCGCGGTTGGGCGAAATGAAAGGGGGGATGGTGCCATGTTCCGACTTTCCCTTCTCCTTTCCTCCTCTTGCCTCGCCTCTCAGCCTCTCCCCTCTCTCACTCCTCCCTCCTCCTCCTCCTCCTCCTCCTCCGTCTTCCTCGTCCTCCTCCCGCCTGCGCCCCCTTCCTTCTTCTCCTTCTCCTCATCCTTCTCCATTCGGCCCCCTCCCCCTCATTTCCCTATCAGGGAAAGGGGGGGCGGGGGCCGCAGGGGCAAGGGGCTTTCGAAGATTTGACAACTTGTGCTGCGGGCCTCTCGGGGTCGGGGCCCAATTGGCCAGGTGTCCTGGATTCGGCTGCTTCCGAATTGCATGGGTGGCAACTCTCCATGATGCGGGCGTCGGGCCAGATGGTAGATCCTAGAGTGAGCAAGTTCCGCATCGAGGCTTCGAAACTCCTGGAGGCGGCCCATCTTTCCATGCTGCTGCGCGGCGGCAGTTCCCGACTTCACGACGTGGTCGCTCACTCCCTGTCATTGGCTTTGCCCGAGAACTTGCGGGGCGCGTTTATTCCAGGCCAGGGGGGGGGGGGGGGGGCAACTTATGGAGGGTTAGATGGGGCGGGGGGGCCTAAGAGAGGACAGACTCTGGGACTCTGGGCCGCCTCCTTCTTCACCACTTTCTCCTTTCTTTACTCGCCTGCCCCCCCTCTCAGGGCCCTGAAAAAATCCCCTGGCCCGAGAGGCCCGAGGCCCGAGGCCCCGGCGACCGCTTTGTTTATTCTGTCAGGGCGGCGGCGGGAACAGCAACCATCTAGTTTCGGCGATCTCTTTTAGCAGGCGATGTGCTGTCGGCGTCTTTGAAGGATAAGAGTATCCTACCATCTGCGTCGGTGATCCGTCGGGCCGAACTCTCCCCAGACGCGGCCATCATGTTGGTTTCAAAGAGGCACTCTGGCGCCCGCGCTATGAGGTTCATGCTGTCTGATTCGAGTCCCTTGGCTGGTTATGATTGGATCTGGTCTACATACACAGAGGTTCAAACTCATGACATTGTTCGATGCTGCTGCGCTGTCTGGTCTCTGCAGAGGGTTCTGGACGCTTACGCCGCGTCCCGCCGCGAGTCTGAGCAGCCCGGGGACGCCGCGTGGCACCGCGTCGTACCTTGCGAGGCCACTGAGTTTTTGCGGGACATCGCCAGGCATGTTCGGCAGAACATCAACCCTCCAGGCCAGGGGCGTCGAACGCCTCGCCGATCTCCCTGGCCACCGGGGACCCGCGGAGGCGCCGAGCGCGAAGATGTTGCTCCCCCTGTCTTTATATGTTTATGTGTTCCTTTTCTCTCTCTCTCTCTCTCTCTCTCTCTCTCTCTCTCTCTCTCGCCTTATGTATTTCTTCCTTCCTTTCTCTCTCTCTGTCTCTCCCTGTCTCCCTTCCTCTCTCGCCCTCTCTCTCGCTCTTCATGGGCAAGCGGGCCGCGCTTATGCGCTCAGATAATCTGCGCGCAATGCGCGGTGGCCTTGGTTTCGGCGAAGGGGAAATCTAAACCAGAGGGCGGTCGATGCCTGCCCCCCTCCCCCCCCGCGTGGGTCACGTGGGACCCCCGCCCCCTCGCCGTCTCCGAGCCAGCTGGGGGCGCATGGATGAGGAGCAGAGGGGTGGGCGGGGTGGGCGGGGGGCTGGTGGAAGGCGCAGATGGAGGAGTGGAGGTGCAGGAGGTGCGAGGTTGGGCAGGAGCAGGGAGAGGGCTGGGGGGGGGGCGATCGAGGATGAGGGGAATGTGCGCCACTGTCACCGCGCCCAGGTGCCCTTGCTAGCGGCCACTCGGCTTTAGCCGACAAGGCAGCCGCAGAAGTTTACAAGTTGCATCTCCAGTGCGGGCCAGACTCCAATATAAATCGGGAGTTGCCCAAGATCAGGTCGCACGCAGGTGACATGGGGACCGAGCTTGGCCTGCCAACGTTTCGGATCGAGGGGGGCGGCGACAACTTGATTCCGTCTTGGGTCCGTGAGGGTCGGCCTGGGTTGAACGTTGCAGGAGACGTTGAAATCGCATCGTGTGATAACGGGCCTGACATTGGAGACACCTCATCCGACGCGGGCGCGGCCGTACGCCCCCAGCCTGAATGCCAGCGTCCTACCGATACAGAGTTCATGCCGAACGCCGCGACAATTGCTGGGATGCAACACCTCACTGACAACTTGAATGCAGACGTGAACAAGGCTCCCCCACCCACTGGGGCATGATACGTTCTTTTTGGGCATGGCCCTCCCCCCCTTCCACCGCCGCCGCCCTCTGTGTAACTCCCTTTGGCTCAGGATCATGACCCGCCAATCCCCGTTGAGGAGCCTCGGGCCGAAACTTTCTTCAGGGACCCTGGCGCCTGGAGGTTGGGGATCGGGGCCCGGGCTGGGCAACGCGACGGCATCCGAAGGGCGGGGGCGGAGGGCAGGGGGGGGCGGCAATGGGGGATGGGGAGGGGCCTCTGTCCCCGAGGCGCTCCAGAATTGGAAGGATTTTTTCAAGATGCTCAAAATCATTGAAAGCTTGCTGCGCTCAACGCTTAAGAGGCAGCGTCTTATTTGGACATGCTTCAGGGGAACTAGGTTCGAGCATTGGGAGGGCGAGCTCAAATCGTTTTCTGGTTCGCTCTACGAAGCTCGGTGGCACGAGGTGGGCGGCTCGCCAGAATCAGACCCCGCGCCCGCCCCGCGTGCAACATGCGCATGTCTTCATCGCACAGCATGCGTTGTACACTTGCAAAACACATGCATTGCCCACTTGCGCCATGCCGTTTGTATCCTTCACAAGGTGGTGTTTTTTTTGGAATGCGCGGTCCCTTTGTTGCCCGTGCTCTCGCGCGCTTTCGACGTCCAGAAGTGGGAGAGGGGCACCGACGCGGATGGCCGTGACGACCCTGAAGAGCTCCAAGATACCCGCCTTCGGCATGAGCGCAACCTCGAGCTTGGGCAGTTCGACGCGAATGGCTGTCGAGATGCGCTCCTCTCTCCACTGCTGCATTACTACGCCTACATGATTTTCAAATTGAACTCCATTCCCGTCAAACTTGCTCTAGATCTGGATCGGGGAGGGACAATCATTCATCTTTGAGACTACCCCCTCCAGTGTTCGCCCCGCTCGTCACACCAAAAACAAACGACCCCTGCTCGTGCGAGCAATGGGCGGCAGCAGTTGGCCTGGCGTCCCGGAGGGGAAACCGATGGGAAGGGGGGCAGGAAAGGAGGGCGCGGCGGCGACGGCAGCAGCGGGCGGGGGGATGGACCAGCCCTGACTTACGTATGGGGATGGTAAGGAGATGAGGAGATGAGGGAAAGAGAAAGGAGAAAGGGATAGTTTTTGTTTCAAGGGAAACGCGCATGACGCGCAACGCTCGAGCGGAGGTCAAGAGGGCAATGAAACGTGCCAGCGGTTCGGTAACGCATTGCTGCATTGCCTCCAGGGGGTCTGCCCGCGCCACCGCCACCTCCTGGAGAAGTGCACGCGGTGGGAGAGAGACCGCGCCATGGAGGAGCATTTCGGCAAGGGGGTGGTGAGTTGCCCCATGTGCCGGGCAATCAATGTCAGAATGACCCCCTCCCCCCAGAGCCTCATTACGAAGCAACGCAAGGCCTGCGACGGGCCGCGGAAAGGGGGGGTTGCGGCCCGAGGGGCCAAGAGGCTTCTGGCCTTCACTTCCTGCCTTCGGCTTCACCGCGGATTGAACATGTCCGCTTCTCGTTTGGAAGCAAGGGGCGCCCTCGCCGTCGCAGCTGGACTTCGCATCGAATTAGCAGTCGAACGTTTTGTTTGTCTCTTGCGATTTGCCACCTCGGCAGGGCGGGCATGAATCTGCCCGAGCTGGTCGTCGAGGGCATCGACTCTGCATTCGAGGTTTTGCAGCTCCAAGGACATCGGGATCTTCTCGACTTCGAGCCGCCAGGAGGCATTCCACATCTGTCAGCCTCGGATTGGGAACTTCTGCTCAGGGACTACTCGAGCGCATGCAAGTCAATGCTGACGCTTCTCAGAGTGAAGACTGCATACCTCAAGCAACTGCCGATCCTATATGCAGGGCTGGCTGTGGCAGACGAGGGCGTGGCCCGCGCACATGCATCTGAAGTGCTGGCGTCGTTCATGAGGGATCCTCGGAAGGAGTTGCACGATCCACGCACGTGGGAGCTGCTGGATCCAGATTGCGAGAATGCGGCTGAACTTCAGAAGTTCATAGCGGGGACTTCGCGTCCGGAATGTAGTTACTTATTCCAAATGAATATCGCTGTGTTTCGGTTCATGCACTGCGTGGAGACGTCCATTGAAGAGAAGCACGCCAGGGCCTCGATGGCAAAACTCAAGCATCATATCGGGCCGTGCCGCATCAGTTTGTCAAATAGGTTGCCAATGTTGATGAGATGGTTGGCGCTTGGTCAGACGTCGGGGCAACAAGTTGTTGATGCTTTCTCTTGCGTTCGGTCTTTGTCCAAGATTCGCTCTGAGCTCCACATCGAGTCGCACGAAAAGCTCATTGGAAGCAGAAGCACGACGGAATTGGCAGTGAATTTGGTCGATGTCATATATCGCACCCATTTGGCAGACATGTTCAGATCTACTGCAGCCGAGGCAAAACGTCACCAGAAGAGCAAGGGTAAGTCGAACCGTGACCATGTCAAGATCGCAGAGAAGGGTCAGCCCAAACTTGACAACCGAATTGATTTTGAACGTGCGATGAAGCGAGCAATGGAATCTCATGGTAGATCAATGTTGCACGCCAGTGACTTGTATTCATGCAGGCCTGTGAACTTGCCAATCCAGGACCTCGAAGATCTGCTCATGCAGCCTCGCAGCAAACGTCAAAGGGTAGCAGAGAACTTGGATTCGGACGACGGCGCAGATCTTGCTATGGATGTCGACACTGGTCGAGATGGTCTTGCACTCGCTGACAAGGTGTTCTTCGAAGTGATCTGGAAGAACTTGGGTCGGAAGAAAACCGTGCCGGTTGCGATGGCTGCTGGCTCCAAGCTGAACCAGTCTGATATGGCAGTGTCGCTGTTGTCGCCCTCCATCCAAGCGGTGCGCGAGGACGAGTTCGCGTTGTCTTCCTCCTCGGCGGGCCAAGAACAATTGCCTGCGTCAGTCATCAAATTTTTCACAGGGAGCTGCGAGCAACTCAAAGTGAATTTCCTGAGGTGGAAGCGATCCGTGGTTTGGTGCGTGCCTGCCCTGGAGGGCGGTCCTGGCGCCGATGCCATGGGCATCTGCTCGCTCGCGACCGACATGGTTGTTTGCGGCGCCTACCCGCGAGGAGCTGACGCCGAGGCTGCCTTGGGGGTCTACGAAGCGAAGCCGCATCAGTACGCAATCCTGGTGCGCCTCGAGGAGCTCGGGCTCGCGCAACAGAGGGGTCGCGACAAATGGTATTTGACAAAGCAGGGATGGAAGTCGCTGGACACGCGCACTCGGGCCTACGAGCCCAATGTATTTTATCAGATTCGGGACGACGTGCCTATAGAAGACCGTACGACTTATGAACTGATAGAGATGTTGACTGACGACGGGTGGCAATGGCGCCAGTGGATCCCCCCAAAGAAGAGGACGCAGAAGACGCTGCCCATCGTAGACGCTTACACGCCAGGCGCGGAGAAGGCGTGGTTCAGTTCTGGAGCCTGGCAGGCGGTACCTCGCTAGCTTGATCCTTTCCGAGGACCCGCTCCTCGCGGGGGTCCGAAACCATGGGGGCGGAGGATGCCCAAATGACTTATGAGGAGGAATTGACGGGGGGTGAGGGAAACCATGTACCAGGAGGAGGATGGACGATGATACGCCGCGAAACTAGTTTCCTGCGTCGGTTGAGAACAACGGAAATGAGGACGAGGAGAGAGAAGGAACAGGAGGAGACTGGAGGAGGAGGAGAATGAGCATGAATATATAAGGAGAATGAGTTTTTTTTGTTGCGTATCCCCATGCAGAGGAACACTTTGCGAACGGCTTGTGCATGATATACCACGCAGAACCCGATCGATATTACAAGGCCATATTGGATGGAAATTATGATGGCCTCAATCGTCTTCGCCATGGCAGCCGCAACTTGGCTACCATTGAGGACGGGGGCTTGGCCTTGGACATCGAGGTGGATGCGGACAGCCAGCCCGCTGGGGCCCCTCGTCCGCGGCCACCGCTGCCAATCCGAGACCGAGATGAGCGCGCGGAAACTGCGTCAGCAGGAGGCTCTGGGCGCCGAAAGAATCCAGGCTCCGAGTTTGACTGGGAGGAGGATGTTCTTCGGAGTCCGAGTCCGAGCGATCGCGGAAATCCAGGCCCTGGCCCTGCCAGCCAGGGCGACAGAGTTGAAGGCGGCGGCCCACCTGGATCACCTGCCCCCCCAGATCCAGCACCTGCCTCGCCCGGGCCGCCAACGCCGAGGTCGCGAGATGGCGGGGTCAGGGGAGATTGTTCGCCTCATGCCCCCGACTCGCTGCTGCTGTCGCCGCCTGCTGGAGCCGCTGCTACTCCTGCGCGAGAACCCCCGTCGCAAGGGAGCGACGCTGGCGGTGGGTTTGAGATTGATGCAGACCTGATGGAAAGGATCAACGACATGTCGGAGCCAGAGCCAGCTGATCCCAGCAGCAGCCCGAAACGCAGTTCCAGCAGCAGCAGCAGCAGCAGCAGCGATTCCGATCATGACGATGGGGGTGATTCGATTGCGCCTGCTGAAAGCGAAAGAGCCCCGCGTGTACGCGATACTGTCCCTGATACGATCAGCGAAGCAATGAGCAACGAGACTTGGGGGGCTTTTAGACTGCAGCTCAGGCCGCCTGGCAACATGAGGGGTGGTAAGTATGGCGCATATGAAGCCAGGTGCCCTTTCCACCGAAAGAACAAGGTCAGCGGGTGTGCCAAATACATTAGGATATTGGGACCTGGCCACGAGATGAAAATCGATGCTCTTCATCGAGCCATATGGTGGTGCAGCACGTACCGACAGTTTGACCGCCAGTGGAAGCATCTCGACTTCGAGGTGCAGATGGGCAAGGCCATTGACTCCCCGCCAGCTCTTGCTGACCTCCACGGTCAGAAGCCGATCGAGATCCCGCCGAAGAACACCATCAAAACCGACGACGAGTTGGACGCAGAGAGGGCGGCTGCCGCTGCAGCCGCTGCCCCAGCCGCAGCAGCAGCGCCAGGAGCTGCACCCGCTGCTGAAGAGGAGTCTCGGGCAACCCCACCATATGAACACGACGGCATCGAATCACATGAAGCATCGACCAAACATAGAAAGGAAACGCCAGGGGTGAGGGGCCGGAGGAGGAGGAGGAGGAGGAGGAGGAAGAGGAGGAGGCCAGGAGGGGGAGGGGGACGACGACAACGACGACGACGACGAGTGACAAGCGTCGCGCCCGCCTGCGAAGGAGGGAGGCGGCGAAGCCGCTGGCCGCGGCGGTGGTCGCGGCGGCGGCGCCGCCCTCGCGCCTGGCCGCGGACGCGGCAGAGGGCGCGGCGCTCGCGCTGGCGCCCGTGGCCCGGGGCGGGGCTTGGAAGGAGTCTGTGGCCCTCGTCGTCGTCGTCGTCGTCGTCGCCTGTCGTCTTAGTAATGCTTTCCTTTTGGTGGCCTTGTCTCTGCGCTCTTCGGACTCGTTCCTTGTTCTCGTCGTCCACAGTCTGTCGCCATGTTTCGATCCGTTGTCGTCAGCAGTGACTCTTCTCTCCTCTGGTATTCTCCTTGTAGCTTGAACGTCGGGGGTCATTGAATCAATAAAGTATCGCTGCCCGTCGCCCTGTATCAATGATGTTCAGAGATCCAAACTGTCGTGGCATGCTCTCTGCTGGCCCTCGCAGGAGCCTTGCCATCGGCCCGTGACCTCAACTGTCTCCTCGCCCTTCGTCCTCCACGCCGCTCATCATCATTATTGCCCCAACTGCTCCACCCCTTCCTAGCCTCACGTGCTGCTCCTCCTGTTACTACTCCTCGACTTCTCGGCTCCTCCATCCTCTCCTGCCATCCTCTCTCTCGCTATCTTTCTGTGTGTTCCTCTCCTCTCCTCTGCCCTGCTCTGCTCTGCTCTGGTCTGCTCCTCTCTCTTTCTCTCTCTCTCTCTCTCTCTCTCTCTCTCTCTCTCTCTCTCTCTCTCTATATATATACACTCTTCTCTTCTCTTCTCTTCTCTTCTCTTCTCTTCTCTTCTCTTCTCTTCTCTTCCCTCTCTGTCTCTCCTCCTCTCCCCCCCATCTCCCTCCACTTTGCTACTCGGTCTCCGAGCTCACTCCTGGGCATTCCTCCTCCTCCTCCCCCCGCCTTCTCCTCGTCTACTCGGCCCTCGCTTGGCTCCGCGACCAGAGGGGGAGAGTTCGATGCTAAACTTAGGCCCGCCGTCAAAGGCGACGCGGCCTCCGCCAAGGAAAGAACATAGAAGGACATTTCGATAAGGGGCCCTAGCGGGATTTGAGGTGCACGCCCCTGAAGTATCATTTGGATGTAATATGAATGAATGACCAGTGATGGGCCCAATGCCCTGGGCCCCATGCTCGAAGTTCGGGCGTCAGGCGTCAGGGGGGCATCCGCTGGGAGATCGAAAGTTCCGAGGCCTCTTGTGCATTCCCTTGCCTTGAGGGGGCCCGACCTTGGAGGGCGTCGGGGCACTTGCTCGGGCCCTCTTGGGCTCGTGGGCGTGGGGTAAAAGGGCCCGCTGATTCTCACAAAGGTTCCTGCCTGGCCCGCAGGCGGCGGCGCCGCCGCTGGTCCAGCTCGAGGTGCTCGCGGCGGAGCCCGCGGTCCTGGCGGGGGCTGCGGCCGCGGCCGCGGCGGCAAGGGCCGCGGCAGGGGCGCGGGCCCAGAGCTGGGCGCTGACGGCGACGACGATACCAACAGCAGCGATTGACAAAACATGTCCATGTTCCCCCATTGCCCAGCGTCTTCTCCTGCTGCTCACATGAGAGCAGGTTGCGTTTGCATGAGTCGTTGCCGGTCGCACTTCTCAGGCGCAGGGGTTAGGGGGCCTCTCAGTGGGGCCGTGAAGGGGGGTTCGGGACTCAATGACCTTGGGCCCCAGGGCCCGCGGGTTTTGCCTTCGAACAACCTCAGGGTTCCTGGCCCCACTCCGCTTATCGAAGCTTTGGGCCTTTGGGCTAGATGGTCGGCGTCGTCCATCTTGGAACGCGACGACGAAGCATGATCATACTGGCGGGGGCATGGGGGAAATCATACGCCCATCAAGCAATCGAGAGTATTGCAACCGTGGAACCATAGGCAACCAGTAGTTTTGAGTAGGAGATACATGTGAAAACAAGGGCTCCCACATAATAGTTGGTTGTGAATGATCACGTGTACGTATGTTCATAATGTATTCATATTCGAATATATGAATCCTATGGCTGCGCATCACCTACATGTACACATACATATATACGCTTGTTTTCAGATCGCCTGTGATAACATTAAACTCAACAACGTCATGCGAAACTATGTAAGAAATCATAGTGCGATCAACCTAAGAAAACAGAAAGGCGCACATGACCAAACCTTTCCCACCATGCACACATTTAAGGAAACAAGCAACATGCACAATTGCACGCTGAATATCCTGCACTAACTGTTTGCATCGCAGACCATTCTTTAACATTGAAATGTATCGTGCATGTGTTTGTGTAACGAGCGGAGCGTGCAATGTGTGTTAGCTATGTTTTGTAGTTCATAGAGCGCGCAGTGCGATCACATTTGTGTTGTCAGAAAGTCATTGCCAGTAGCGCGGTTGCAACGACAAAGAGCGACATGCGCGTGTAACAACATGCTTGCAAAACCGCTCATGTTTACCAGTGGGCGCAGCATGCCCACGCAATGGTCTTTTGCGCTCCGACCATGGCACAGGTGGGGTTCCACGTGGCAGAGGAGACCAAGGCCTTGCGCGTTGACGAGCGCGCGCAGCGCAGTCCGGAGGAGGAGGGGTGGCGGGCGGTTTCGCCGCCACTCGCCGCCCATGGTCGTCAACCGACCTTTGCGCCTGCATCAAGCTGCCGCCCTCCTTTTATATGATGTATCCGTAGCTGTTTCTTTCCCGTGGCTCTCCATGCCCGTCTTGTTTCTCGCGCGCACGCCTTCGCGCGGGTCGCCGACGCGCAACGCCGACGTCGCCAACGCCCCGCGAGGCAGCCTGCGCCCAGTCCCGCTACATCTGCTCGCAACTTTGAAGCGCCCCAGCCTGCTCTGGCATCGGGCCATGGGCTGTGGCTTTCAACGACCGAAAACAATTATCTTGGCCCAGACGTTGGCGCATCCCAAATACACCGCCCGCAGTTCGCTCGAACCGCGGGCCTCAGCAAACGCGGGCATTTGCTGCAAGCGGCACGGGCCGATTGGCACCAGAGGCCATGACGCTTGGAGAGCGCTGCCATCGTGAAGCTATGCCACTGTGGACCCTTCCACTGTCGGCTGAAAAGCCAAAGGCCTGGGCCTAGCTGTCGTCGGTCGGCCAGAGGGGCCTGCTGGCTTGCTGGCCGAAGCCGCCGCCAAAGTAGGCGCAACTCCTTGGGCTTGGCGCGCGCGCGGGCTTCGGGCCCTTGGATCGTCGCTGCGAGCATCCGTTCAGGCAGCCCTTGCCTGCGCATCACAATATCTGTAGCCTTGCGCCAGCACTTGGCCCACGCGAGTCGAAGCAACGATGGCCATGCATATTTCGATGGCGGGGCTCAGTTGC